CAGAATACACTGCAAGAGCCGAAGCAGTACCGTTCGCCGTATGGGTGCCTGGGTTGACGATCGTTTCGCGGAGGAGGAGGTCCCGATTAACCAGGGCCCGAGAAGAAGGAGGAAAGCTTCCCGCATCCTGGGCCACGTTTGCGATGGTGGCGATCCAGGTGCGATATATCAGCGCACCTCGAGGAACTTTAAGAATTCGTCCAGGTCGTCACTGTTGCCATTACGCCGTCAGTTCACCAGACAGCTCTACGAGTGGCCGTGCTTACCGTTGTTTAAGTCAAGGACGAAACTAGATCAGTTTTGAATCGGTCGACACGATCACGCGGTCGCGTTTGTGCTGTGTAACTTTTTTTATAGCGGTGCGTGGGTTTTTCTGTGCTGCAGGGGCGAAAAAGGAGAAAGAGAAGAGAATAGGAAGCAAAAAGGGGAAACGAAACCGGGAAATATAATTGATCTTATTGTACAGAGAGATTAATCGAACGAGAAGGTAAAAAAACTACTAAATCAAGATCGACATAGACAAAGAGAAAAACAGAGAGAGAAAGAAAAGAAAAGAAAAAAAGAGTTTCTCGATGTCGTTACGTTAGCTTCACGAGGACTGCGCTTAAAGTAGCGGGTTCCTCCTTATTCTCGGCATCATCAACATGGCCGAGTGGGCCAAGTTCAACGGTGAGGAGAAGCTGACTGAATCGAGTAGGACGATCGGTACGAGCAGCGGTAGCAAAGAGGACGACCTTATCGGGGGGTTACACGACGATCTGAGGAACGGGAAAGTGGGTCCACCTCGTAAGAGCGACGAGGAGCTGTTAATCGAAAAGAAGCGTTCTTCCGCGAACAGAACCCCTCAGGATACATTACGGAATACAGAGTTGCGAAAGGACAACGATACAACATCCACGGAGTTAAATTCTATAATAAAAAGTGCCACCTGGTTGAGGAAAAGCTCGGACCAGATTGAAATCTTGCCGCAGGAGCAATCGGAAGCGTTGAAAGATCAAAGTTACGAGAATGACGTGGCGATCGAGAAGGACGAAGAGGAGGGACCTTGTCTGGAGAAGACGTTCGACGGATACGACGAGCCTGGCTCGCGAATCCGTCACGAGGCAAGACTGGAACTGAACGAATTGTCGCGGAACTCGTTGTTGAAGTTGCAGAACAGCCCGTACAAGGAGAATGTTTCCAGCCCGGCGAAACGGACGTTCATGGAGAGGAGTTCGTTGATCCTGCCGACGAAGAATCATTCACCATCGAGGAAGAGCACTGTCGACGAGCTGGTCAATGGGAAATCACCACGGGAGGACAAGCAACAGCATCACGTGCAGTTCAATAAAGATTCAAAGATCCAACAGACGCAAGAGGAGAAACCGTTGTCTAGCCCGTCGATCCCTCCGTCGACCAGCAACAGTTCTGACAATAATTCCAGTTTAGGGCATTTGTGCGAGGCGACGCCCCCCGACGGTGGTTGGGGTTGGGTGGTCGTGGCGGCTTCCTTCATGGTTAATTTGATAGCTGACGGTATCACGTTCTCATTTGGCGTGATCTACGTAGAGTTCCTTAATTATTTCGGCGGGGGCAAGTCGAAGACAGCTTGGATTGGCAGCTTGTTCATGGCGATGCCACTGTTATCGGGGCCAGTAGCTAGCTTCCTGACGGATAGGTATGGCTGTCGTAGAGTCACCATCGCGGGAAGTATCTTGGCCACGGCAGGCTTCGTTATAAGCTCGTATGCCAACTCGATGGGGGTATTAATATTCACCTTCGGGGTTCTAGCTGGCTTCGGCTTGTCCTTGTGTTTCGTGGCAGCGGTAGTCATAGTCGCTTACTATTTCGACAAGAGGAGATCTTTCGCAACGGGCTTGTCTGTATGCGGAAGTGGCATAGGAACGTTCATTTTCGCGCCGGTCACACAATACTTGCTCGCCGAATACGGTTGGCGGGGTACCACGTTGATTTTGGCCGGTTTATTCTTGAATTTGGCTGTCTGCGGTTGTCTGATGAGGGATCTGAAATGGACTACGATCAGGGCGAGGGCTAAGACCGAGGAGAGGCGGAAGAATCGTGAGAAGAAGAGGAGCAGGATACAAAGCTCCAGCATGGACTCGTTCTCCGCGAACAGCTCGTTGAACACTCTTACGATCATGGAGAATCTTCGTATCCAGGAGGGAGAGGAGGATGGCGAGAAGCTGTTTTCCAGTCTGGTAAGCTTGCCGACGTTCGTCAAGAACGGCGAGAAGGTCCCTCTGGAGGTGTTGGAACTGCTCAGCTCTCGCAAGGACGTCTACAACGTGTTGCTGCAAAATTACCCGAGTCTGTTGATCTCTTCGAGAAGTTTGAGCAGTTCGGTTCAGTTCCACGACCAGGTCAGCACACCGTCAGCGATGTTCGTGCACATGCCGAGCTCGTTGTCCGAGCTGAAAACCGAGGAGAACAAGCGGAAAGAGCAGAAGGCCAAGGACAAGAACAAGGTATTGCGTAGCGTCGAGCAAACGTTCCAGCAGCAGACCGACGCAGGCTGGAGATTGTGGCGATTGAAGAAGAGCAATCTGGACAGTTCGGCGAGGAGATCAAGCACCCTCGAACATTCCAGGAGGCTACCCACTGCCTATCTGAAAGATGTTAGAGTGCACAGACACAGCCTTACGTACAGGGGCGCTATGTTGAATATAAATCGATATCGGCTCAGAGCCTCCAGTTGTCCGGATATTTATAGGAACTCGATGACTACCATGGCAGAAACGAAGCTTGTCTGGTATGCCGGTCTATGGGAATTTTGGGATCTTGTAGTGGATATGCTTGATTTTTCTCATTTTGCCGATTCTCGTTTCTTGCTGTTCGCCATCAGCAATTTTCTCCTGCACACTTGGTACGACGTACCCTACGTTTACCTGACAGACAACGCGATCGAGATGGGCTTCAGTGAAACCGATGCTTCTATTCTGATATCGGTGATTGGGATAAGCAACATGTGTGGCGAGGTAAGGATAATTTATATACGTAATATTTAAACAAGGTTTAGCCAAACTTTAAGAGTACGTTAACGAATTTAATTTCTTTTTTATTTTATCTTATCTTATCTTATTTTATCTTATTAGCAATCAGAATAATAAATTTTTATGAGCTAATTTGCTGGCTTGAGTACTGTTTCCAGCACCTCTTAAAGCGTGATGAGAACTCGCCCATTGACGAGTTCTCCTTAACCATTAATTAGGTCTGCTGGTCATGGATTTAATTTTACAATACCGTTTAACTCTCAGTAACCGATGAGATAAAATAGTAATATACATTTCATTTAAATAATTCTGTAATTTAATTTAATTTACTATTATATTAATTTCCTACATCGATACGGAAAGATGAAATGAATTTACTCGTTCTTACTAATTCAGCTTCTGCAAATCACCTAGAGTTAATCATTATCCGAACGTCAAACGGTCATTATTAATTGTGTTTCCATGTCAATTTATCTACTGAAAACATTATTGCACGCTGTATGACGTTTATTGATTTATCTCGACCACTTGTGGATCGAATAATTCCAAACAATTGAACATATTTTTCTTCCCATTTCCCGTTACATTTAATCACACTCTTGTATGTAGTAATAATTGTCATGACGAAAATGTAACAACCGTACCCTCATTAACGTGAAAATCTAACAATGCCAGCGCGTAATATACTCGGTGTGTTGCTTAATGTTGTCGCGTCACTTCGTCGATATGTCGATAATTCCAAATATCGATGTTTATTGTCCAACGGTTTCTCCTTTGCACCATTACTTTGTTCCTTTATGTGTTCCGATATTAGTTCGCCTCACTGGCATTTATCGTTCAATAAAGAATGGTTATTTCCACCTACTGATTCAGCGAGACATCATTCTTAAAAGGGTTGCTCCACTTTGCCACTTAAATTTCTGAAAATTTAGATGACATAATCGCTTTTTAACCTTATACGGTTTCACTGTGAACTTTAAGCAACATTCTATAGGTATTGTTCCTTTAAGCTTGTAAAAACGTCTCGTATTAATCCATCACGTGTCATAATCTATATCGATTACCTCGAATCACATAGGTAGGTATGTTTGAAAATTTTTGTAATATTTAAAATCCTAACTTTGTGTAAAATAAATGTAACATAGTTTTATTACAAATAACGTCACAATTATAACTTTCTTACTTGCAATCTTATTCTTGATGATTACGAAAATGTCAAATATTATCTTTGAAAGCCTTTGGCTTAAATGAGTGACATGACTGGTTTGCCTATACACACACACACACGATCGAACGTTTTTGTTAAACCGGAAAGCTTCTTAAAGGCCCGTATTATGTCAATTCCGTCTTAGGCGTTGTGTGACGCGATAGGTTAGTTCCTTTCACCTTCCCTGATCTCATTTGTTCGTAAAACTCTATTTGACCCTGAGCTTGCGACACGCAAGGGTTGCGTCAGATTTGAATTTTTTTAAATTACCATTGGAATAATTCTGAAAAAAGTTCGCCGTCACCTAACAATTCCATAAAACGAAACGCATATGGGATATGTAGAAAATAAAAATTTTTAGAAAACATTTGGTTTTACACAAACATTCTCTCTTCGTTAAACTTCATTCGTTCGCTTTTACAATTTTTAACAGTTTTGTTTTTTTTAACTCACAATTTCTATAAAACATAAAATAGATCTTTTCATAAGTGAACATCAATGCCTTCTAGTTTTTAAAAGTGTGAAAGAAGAGTTTGTTGTACTCAAGATTGATGTTTTTGTTGCATCCATATATACATATATCGCAAGATTAGATTAGATTAGATTTCAAGAATAGATTAAAATATTCCACGACTGTTGTTGTGCTAAAAATTGATAATTTTTTCCAGATTCTTCTTGGTTGGGCAGGCGACAGAGCATGGGTAAACGCGTCCATGGTATATGCAGTATGCATGGCTATCTGTGGCGCGGTCACAGCTTTAATACCCATGGTAGTTGGCGATTATTATTCTTTATGCGCGATCTGTGGCGCTTTTGGATTATTCGTCGGGGCGAACTACAGTCTTACCAGCATCATCCTTGTTGAATTGATCACGTTGGAGAGATTCACGAACGCTTACGGTCTCCTGCTTTTGGTTCAGGGTGTTGCTAATCTTATGGGCCCTCCGCTGGCTGGTAAGGGGAAACTCTCGTATATGCCCCGGGAAACAGAATTCCTAATATACTAGACTATTTATAATCCCAGATATATAGATGGAACATACGTCAGTTAATTAGTTAGTCCATTTTAACGCTAGAATTACCGATGATCGAGGTACATTTATTTTTACCTATCTATTGAAACAACGGGCTTCCCATAAAATAAGTATAACACAAGGGATATTTTCCTTAAATAAGATTTTATGTAAGACACAGAATATTTTTCCTCAGAAACTGCAAAAAAAGATACACCATCGTAATTTTTTAACTCAGTTCTAAACTTCTGTCAGAGGCTTTATACTTCAAAATGCATTGTTAGAAATTGGTGAAATGATTATACATATATATTGTTGCTTAATAACATTATCATAGAGGAAAGATTAGAGGGTAGTATATTGAATTATGAGTGGCTCTACTGTCCACGGTAATTCGAGAGTTCTTTGTGAATTAATACGATCGTAATGGCTTTGAAGATCAGATGGAGCGTCGCGTAATTACGGTCGAAGTTCCATTGTTTCGCAACCGAGAAAATTCGGACGGAACGCCAACCCTTTCTATGAACCCTTTCTCTGAAGATCTAGAAGAGCGCTCGAAACGTGTTTTCATTGTTTCAGGATGGCTTTACGATATCACGGGGTCATACGATCTGTCGTTTTATTTGGCCGGTTTCTTCATCGCGTTGAGTGGAGCGTTATTACTGCCGATGCCTTTAATTAGCCTCTATCGAAAATACTCGAACGGATCACGGAAGGAAGAAACGGAGGAAGATTTTGCGAACATGAGCAGGGTATAAAAACGGATGGAGGCAACGCCGTCGATCATTATCGAAGGGAAAGAAAAGCTACGATCACCGATATGCTCGATGTATTTATCGATATCCAACGGAATTTAATGGAATAACACTTCCAACCAAAAGGAATTGCAATTAGCAGCGCTGTGCAATTAGTTTTACAGCGGTATCTTTTTCTCGCGTTTGCGCTGAACTATTAGTCGCGTGTTTTACATTCAATTAAACGTTTGTGGTTCCTTCGTAGAATAGCACACGTGCGAGCTAATTAAAAGAAAAAGTTCCGCACGTGAAGTGATTTATCCGAAAAGAAAAAGAAATAACGTTTTTTGAAGGTAATCTTATTTCATTAAGGATTTTATATCCTTTAAGTTCTGTGTGTGTTCGAACGATTGAAGATCCATCTACGATTTACAAGGAGGCAAGATCAACTGTCGATAAAAGATGTCCAAAGATAATGTTCTGAAAACGAAAAAAAAAAAAGACAAAAGAAAGATTTATATCGATATGTAAATTGTGATGAAATAGCGGATAGATGAATTCCAAATGCGCGATCATCATTTGCAATTGACATTTCATGGTATTTACGAAAATCTCATATTCACTTTATACTCTGCAGACTCCATAATCATGCTAGCAATCGTGTTACGATAGAGTTTGGGGAAAAATGTTCCCATTCTCTTGGAATTTCAAGCACTGTAACTGATTAAAACCGAGAAAAATGTAACGAGGAACAGAAATTTACGATTAGTCATAGACTATACTGCAATAAAATAATGTAAATCAAGGTAAGATGAAGCTTGCTTTAGCAATCAAGCGCATACACTTCACGAATGGGCTTCAACATTGAGTGTGATCGATAATTAAGAAAAGTTTGAATCTCAGGATAATAGACAAATGATGGAAAGTGATAATTTGATGAACGTTCAGCCAAAGTCTTATTCCCCTAGGGTAAATGATTCGTCTTGTACTTTTTCACGATACGTTCTCAAGGAAAAAGAAAGAGAAAAAAAACAAAGCGTTCCTTTCGGTGTAAATTTTTCATTCTATTACGCGTAAAACATTTGACAAGTTATTTGAACATAACGCCAAAGATATTATTGTAAATATGCGTCGTGCGAGATAATATTCTCGGGATATAACATCAAACATGTATTCTTAGTCAAAATATTTTCATCGTTATATTGATTTCACCGTTAATTATTTTTGTGTCATGCATGCAATATAGTATGTACTTTGTGTTAGTCCCTTCAGTCGAATAAAGACAAAAAGTGAGATTAATCGAGTAACAAGCATAACAATGCTCGATTAGCTGTTACAATTTAGTTTCCATTTCATTCTTTCAGTCTTTTCTGTGATGATGAATCTGAATTTTAAGAGCTTTCCAAGCTACAAATAGATCAATACCTCCGTTCCCATAGCGTGTGCGTGCGTGCGTGTACATTAATTCTAACGATGCATTTCCAGTTTATTTGCACTGCTATTATATGTTCATCTTAAGTGACGTGGAGCAATACGATATAGCATAACGACATCATACAGTCATACAGGGATATTGTAACTGTCATTCTTCCTCAATCGACGTAACTTATCTATTAAGATGTTAACTATCGCAAAATTGAAGGATTACAACTTTTCAAATCGTTACTTTAGTCTTTCGATCGAGTACCGTAACGGTAAATCGAAGATATTTAAATTACAATTCCTAAGAAAAGAAAGAAAAAAAAATCGAAGTGCATGTAATATCTCCATAAAAGCAATTTTTCTATGGAAAAATCGTTCGTGCATTCAGACGAGTTACTTTCAGAATTTTTACTTAGAGAATACACTTATGACTGTACGAGGCCTTCTTACGAGGAAATTCAAAAGTATTTTCTTCGTACAAATAAGGCACATTTTGCCACTCGGTAATAATTTATTCTTTTATCGTGGTACAATAACTAGTTCTACAGTGCGTGTGCTCGCGTTATGGTAGCGTGATTATACATACGCGACCTTACGAAATGTATAATGTAATATTTTATTATGAAAACAAAAACTGCATTTCAAATATACGAAATCGAATCGAATCGACCACTTAGGTTGATGGACTTGCATCAAGTAACATTAAGTAGTAGTTGTCAAGGCGAGGTATGGGATAATAATTTTTGTAAAAGAACTAATGAGAACTAGTTACAAATCTAGCAAACCTTGCGTCTAACGTAAGAAGTCTTAAAGTATGTACGATGTCTTAAAAGTATGTTTTGTTCGAGCGATCGAAGGATGCATTCCCATGTAAACGAAAAAAGTTTTGAGGACTTAATTATAAATATGCCCGCTCATTAAAAAAAAATTTGCCCACTGCGTGTGTCTTAAGTGTTGAATTTTCTTCTCGAAGATTTCTCTTGTTGACTGTTATTCAATAATCTGAATGTTCTCACTACCTCTTTATTAATAAGATATCTTATTACCCATTGTTCATAACCTCGAAACAATCGCTTGAACGTTTGAAAGTGGTGGCGTAAAGTTTATGCAGAAACAAGAAACAAACAAAAAGATGAAAAATCCGTTTATGGCATGGTGCAGATACGTTAAGAGTTTTTTTTTTTTCGAACTGTAAAACAGGGAAATTTGAAGGGAACCGTTCTTTTAGTTTTATATTTGTTTAAAACTGAGACAAGTATACTACAACTGTTGCTTGTTACGTGGTCCAAAACTGAGTGATCATCCTCACGATCACTCGTAATCTGGACATTCGTGAGCAGTTTCTTTTGTAATTACAGGTATAAATTGGAATAAAGTATGATTTAAACAATGGTAGAAGCGTTTGAATTACTATGTTTTTCTGTAGTTACTAAAGCAACATGATTAATTATATAATTGTATAATTCATTATTTTTTCGAAACTACTTTAATGATTAATTCAACGATTCATTTTTATTCTATCTTACTATATTTACCATTAATTATATTGTATATACTATTACAGAAAACTATCGATAATAAAAACTATTTCTTAATGTTGAAAATAATCTAAGTTTATATTATACAGTGATGTTGTAATAATTGTTAGAAACTTTTAAATAATTTACTGCGCACGATTGTCCTACTAAAAGAACGGTTTTATCACAGTTATAGACAACTTGTTCCATTGTAAATGGAACATGGAGACTTACGTTAAGACTCCTTTTTAGACTTTATTAGAAAAACCCATTTTTGCTTGTATAAGTGTGTATATGTACACACAGCTACACGTAACAGGCACACATATATACACACATTCACGTAAGAACGTATACTATTCACACGTACAAAAGTATAAAAGGCTTATTTCAATTAAGATAAAATAAAAAATAAATTACAACAATAAATTACTCCTTTCTTCAAGTCCTAATTCCGTCCTTGCATGAATTTGTAAAGTTCTCTTAATATTGTAAATAAATAGAACACGAATTAAAATAAGCTCATAAATATTTTCATTAACAATTAAATTAATTTTATAACATTAACGTATAATAGTGAACAACTTTGTTTACTAGTTATAAAACGAATACATTTAGTACCAATCGTAAGTCATTATCAAAGGTACTTATCAACAGTCGATTAAGTTTCAAAATTTCAATCAATCAAATTTGTAAGGTCAAGTATCGTCTAAAAAATTTATTGGTAATTATATTTAAAAAGCTACTATTAACATATAATATACTAATAAGAATAAATTCAATTTGTAACTAACAGCGTGAAGTGCTAGTAAGTTTAGAACGATTCGACGAAAATATTTTTGTCAAATATGTACATTGTAAAAGTGTCGAAAATTTCATTTAAACTAATTTAAAATATATCGATATAGTGACGAAGGATATTTAAATTCCTTTCTTTTTGCACAGTACATATGTATATCACTTCGTATTTTGCTGCAATAGGGCGGATGTACAATTTTATAGATCCATAGATAATTATAACATAGGGAGAAATAGAAGATGATTTTTCAAGTTATTACTGCTATTTTAAATTTAATAAATGGATTGCGATACTATGTATAAATGGTCGAAGAAATGACTTGCGCCCTCTTTTAGTTGCAGGTGTATTCTGAAGCGAATGCACAGCAGCGCTTAATTCCTCCGTTTCAGTGCTCAGGGCGCGTTCAATCGAAGTGGTTATGCACATGCAATAAAGAAAAAGTATGCGTTTTGTGACAACACGGGACATTGAAGCGTGCTGGATATCGATCTAGAGAAATTGCAAGGTCGGAGGCTGACGGGTGCATCCTTTCTTACTAAATCTTTCAGTGAATTCGACAGTTTTCTGACGATTCGCTTTCGGGAGAAGCGGAAACACTGGGAACACTCCTCGTGCGTAAGTTGACAGTTGGATGATTTTGTTGCATGCATCAATTTTTACTGCTAGAATCATTTATTTATTATTAACTTCAAGGTAATGACAGTATGACAAGCTAACAGTGTAATTTCGTAGTAGCTTTTATAATACATCTTACTGCATCTATACTGTACTTCATAAGTTATGTTTTTCCTTTCTTTTCGTAACAATATGTAAAATGTAAATTGTTCTTTATTTACTTATATTCTATGACATTTTTTATGTATTTAGTATTTGTTCTTAAGATTTGTGCGAGAGATAGATTTATGGAAGCGACTAATTAAAAATGTGTACTAGTATGAAAAGGGGGGTAAAAATTTAAAATTCGAAATATTTCATTCTATATTTTTATTAATAGAAAAATTGATCAAAAGAAAAATACTTATCTATAATAAAATTAGTGCAACTTCTGGTATCATCGAAATGAATAAAACATTTACAAATTTATTATGTTTAATTTAAAACATTTGTATTATTCTTGTGACATAGTTACAGTTATTAAAAAAAACAATTATTATGTATATATCAGCTGTACACATCGGTGTTATTACTGTACATATGTATATGTATCACTAAAACACGAACCTTCGAACAAAAGTATCTTGTTTACTACGACAGATTTAGTTGACAAGCTTTTGTAAGTTGAAGAATGATCTCGGATATCATTCAATCTTTTCACGTTATCGATAGGAACCGTTGTTTTCGATAAGAGACTAATTTTTCCGCCAGAAATATTATTTGGTCAAAAGAAAAACACCATTGCATGGTTTTGTACATATTCTT